AATATTCACATGGAAAAGTAAGGCAATTAAAAATTCCAAAATCAGTTTAATATTAGAAAAAAAAATGTTTTAGCTCGGAAAATTATGAAATTAGTTTCACATTTTTCCCCTAATACCATGCTCTATCTTAGGGTGGCTAGCTTGAAATTGTTTAAATCTTGATGGGCTCACTTTGGGGCTTATTTGCTATTATAAGCTCTCAATATCTATTATAATTAGCATAGTTATTAGGACCATACCAGACATCGAACCGCTTAAGGCCTCAGTTCACAGTTCACGGTTTGATTGGTCCAACCGGTTGAATCGTCGGTTTAATCCGGTTCAAATAGAATGAAGAATGATACAAGAACACAACTGAAGTCATGGCTCAGTGGTGGACAACTTGCTCTCTGACCCTGCACACCAGAGTTAGCTAGTTTTATACCGGTTCGATTGCTTACCGGTCCTTTAAGGTGGACTGGACCGGCCGAGGCTCTGATTCGGTCTTTTACCGGTCGGACCGCCGGTCCGGTCCGGTCCAAATAATTATGATAATTAGTCGATGTTGATTGTCTAGATTACGTCGAAGAGCAAGTGGAGCGTGGTCCCATGGGCTGGATAAATTTTGAAAGTAGTTGTGTTGGCCTGCACAGCTACATGCATGCATATGTGCGGTAGGGTGCATGCAGCCACGCAAACTGACTCAACTACTTTGAAAAGTATCCAGGCTAGGGATCAGCACCTACTATGATCCTAACGATGCTCCACTAGCGATTCTACATAATCTGGACAAGCAAAATCGATTAATTATAATAGATAATGGGAGCTTATACTATCAAATAAGCACCAAAATGAGTTCATCAAGATTCAAACAATTGCAAGCTAGGCACCATTAGATACAACATGATTTTAGGAAGAAAAAAAATCTGAAACTAGTTTCACTATTTTCCAAGCTAAAACAAAATTTCTGTGAATTTTCTAAAATAAAATCGGATGTTAGGGTTTTAAATTTTGCATTTTTATGTAAATATATAAATATATTGAAAGTTTTATGAATTTTTGGATATTTCTTTTAGAATATTTCTAGTTTGATTTACCTTCATGAACTTTTAGTTTAGTTCGATTTATCCTTTCTCTGACGTGGCACCATATATGTAAAACCACTATCAAAATTGTTCATGGTGCAAAAATAAATGGTTCTAAAAGTTGATGGGGGTAAAAAAAAAATGGTTCTATAGATGATGGGGGTAAATCGAACCGTGAAAGTTGAGGAAAGTTAAAACGAAGTTTTTTTCTATTTAGGTCGATGAACCCCCTGATTTTATTTTTGAGAGCCTTGTGAATGATGTGATCCGATTTGATAATCAATAAAGTGCGCCGCATGGCTTCCTAAAATAAAGAACTTTTTTCCAATAAATTGTTGCATGGACTTCACACGGGCTTTGGTCATTTATGACGTCCAGCCCATGTAGAAGCTGCGGAGCAACACAAACTCATCCGGCCCATCTCCATACCTAGGCAGCCCAGCTCTCCACGCGCAGCCGAGAGACCGACAACCAACCGTCCCGGGCGACCACTGATAAGGCCGCGTCCGCTTGGCGAAGCCCACTCGGGAATAGGGACGGGAACCAGCGCCCGCGCCGCGTGGTCCGCGCCTCCGCGCTCCCGCGTCGCGCTCGCCGGCCAGGTTGCAATTGCAACCTGACGCACGGGCGACTGTCCTGCGCTCGCTTCGATCCGAAGCCTTGCCGGCGGGCTTTTTCTATCGAGTTCGGCGACGCGACTGCGTGTACTGCCTGCCACTTGCATGTCAACGATGGGGATGGGCAACCAGCTAACGTGGTTTTTTCGGTGTGGCTTATCGGTCAAACGAAAGGGCCCCACAACAAGCTTGATCATCAGTTAAAAATACAGACATCTGCCTATCTGCTTCCGATGTCATCGTAAGCCAAGCACCCTAGGATTCACCAATAACCATTGTGGGTGTTGCTTCAATTTAATACTCATCGTCACCGAGAAGTTGCCTTTACGTCCACGGATATCCTATAATCAGCTAAAGGAGACATTTTAAGAAGCAATTTGAGCATATAGGAGTGCAGCGTTGTAACAGATTACCTAAAACTGATCTCTTATAACTATCGTGACATGTGGTGCTCATGTGTCATAGTTAAATTAGTCTGCTCTCTTCTCCTTTTCCGTCCAACGATGAGCACCATGGCTCCTCAACTTTGGAGGAGAAATGGTAGTAATTGCTAGCACAAATAGAACTACACGCCTACCGTTCTTTGAAGAATAACTAGGGACGTGTTTGTTTGCACAGGCTATGACGGGAATAGATCAAGCGGTGCAACCGCGTGTCTGTGTTTCTGGATGCATCGTGGGCAGGTCCGATCTGCCACGTGCTTAAAGCACCATGGAGCCTAGTTGTTGGGAGGTTTGTTTACTACAGGTGCTTGGTGGGTGTGGCACCGACACTACTCCAACGCAGGAGTGGGTGGTAAGTGGGGTTGGGCTGAGGTGTGGGGCCCACAACACTTCTAGACCAACTAATAACATATGTACAAATGTCAAATCAATAGATACAAGTTCACCAAACAAAAAAAGTTGCATCAGTCTACCCCTTCCTTGAAATGCCCTGACTCTACTCGTTGTCGGTACAGGCCAACCTAGTATAGGCAAACAAAAAGGCCCTAGGCCTCCCTCTAACCTGCTGCATGAAGTATGATGTGGAGTGTTGCGTGGCGGTGTGGGAGCACGATGAGCAACTGACGAATGTGATCATTTGGACTACGCCCCAAGGGGGTAGCCATGGCGGCTTCTAGGTCGGATGACCACAAGCGCATATGTGTGCCTTGTAGACCGTGGCGTCATATTGTATGACGTCCGTTGTGGCGTTGTGGAATGGACGAACGAGCCACACATCGACATACTTGTGGTGGGCAGCGTCAAGGGAGCGGATTGATGGCGTGATGTCGTCTAGCATTAGAGGGACGGGGTGGGACCCAAGGATAGGAGAGGAGAGATTGTCTCGTAGAGAGGAGGATCGAATTAGGAGATGTCCTAAAAACATATGGAATTGATAGGAAGAGGGTGTTTGGACGGCTTCAATTTTCCGAACGCAATGTGACTAGGCCCGAACGGCCCAACAATCTTTCGTCTCCATCCACTGAACAGGTTCTTATCAGGACCGGGCTTCTCTCCCTAATCTCTTAGACTCCCATCTGATTTTCTTTCTTGCAATTCGCTTTCGGCGCCACGCACTCGAGTTCCCCGCAACGCATAATCCAAATCTGGGCTGGCGGTTTCTCCACCACGCTTCTCATTGACCGCCACCCTCTCCACGCGCCCTCACCAACTTTGGTCCCTCTCCGGTGATAGCTCCGACTGGAACAACGAGCAAGCAACAACCTCTCTCTCGCGTGTGTCCACCTTCCTCCATCGGCAAGTAGGCGTATTACTGAGCCCATCCGTTGCTACTATCTTCACACTCCAAGCCGGACATCTAGTCTTTGCTCGTGGAGGCCTAGATCCACACCCTCCTCTTTGGATATAGGGCTGCGGTTTGCTCAATATACGTTTTTGGGGATGTTGTATTTGTTGTTTCTCTATGTTGTATCAGAAGATTTCTCATATTTCCATAATAAATTCAGATGTTTGAAGAGATGGTCTCTCTGTTGTTGCAATAAAACTACATGTTGCGTTTCATGAATGTTTGGTGTTGTATTAAATGATGATTGTTTGGTGTTGCAGATTTTGGCATGTTGATTAGAGATGTCGCATCTCCTTTTATTTTGATGTTTAGTAGCTGGCTATTAGGTGTTGCATTTTGTTGGTTTTCCATGTTGTAGTAAACAAAATGAGATGTTATAATAAATAATTCTCATGTTGCGATAATAAAACCGAGATGTAATAATCGATTATTTTGCCTATTGATTAACCATTTTTTTTGTTGTTCCTAAGTGCAGCTTCTATTGTTGAGATTAGATCGTTTTGATGTTGCAAAAGCAGGGTCTTTTTCTCCTATGTTGCAACATTTGCTTTTATGATCTTCTCATAGCAACTCATGGATGTTGTGGCGAGATGTCTTGCTTTGTTTGAGAATCTTCGCATGGAACATGTTGTGAGGGGATATAAACTAATCATTTTGCTCTTATCTCTGGCTTCTATGCGATTTTATCGTTTGATGTTGTAGTACAAATATTTATTTATCTCACCCTTTTTCTTGTCTCTCTCTCGTGTGCCGGATGTGTGCGACAGGCACATGGCAACAAGAGAACCCAAATCGTCGTAGATGCTCGAGCTTTGGGCCCGTTAGGTGCGGTAAGGGATGGGGTGCAGGGCGCGACAAAGGATGGGGGCGCAACGTCGTGCCACACGCTCCGGTTGCGGAGGAAGTCGTGCGGCAAGGGACTGGGGCGCTACGTCACGGCGCACGCTCCTGCTGCGGAGGAAGTTGTGTGATATGAGCTTGGGTGCTCGAATTGGATGACCGAGAGCTGCGTCCGGATGCCGGACATCGGCCAAGGTCCGGACGTCTGGGCAATAGCAATGCCAAAAATATAAGAAAAAAATATGTGGTGGGAGATTTGATGAATCTATCTCTTATATTGCAAAATTTTAAGGATAAAACGAGAGGATATGATATCTGTTGGAGTTTGAATCGGGGCGCTCCAACAAGATGTCAGCTAGCTCATCGATATAGTATAGGATCACGATCCATCTACCAGATAGCGTTGGAATAGTAAAACCTCATCCAAGCCAGAATCTTATAATATTAATCCATGACCCATTTACCAGATAGCGTCATCAAGCTCACGTAATAAACAAGTAAAGAACTAACTTTATTCAACTGTATATAAGTGTGTAGCATGAGGCACAGTCATAAACATACACAACCAACGAATAACAACCACTATTGACTTTTCAACGTATCAACTCCACTCTGATCTCTTCACTGAAAGCCGATCACCTGCTCTGCTCCACAAGGCGACATGAATGGTCACACCTCACTCGTGCTGCTCTCAGTGGCAGTACTGGCGGTACCAGCAGCAGCGGCTGAACCCGGCGTCCCCGTCCCCGACGACGTTGCCGCGGCTGTGGAGCCACCACAGCAGGTTGGTCAGCGAGTTGCCATCATCATGGCCATTGAGTGCGCGGGTCTTGGTCAGCGCCGCCTCCTTGTCGTAGATCCCCTCCAGCGCGTACACGAAGCCCTTCCAGCCTTCGCCGACGCCGTCCCTCGCCAGCGCCGGGAGCGTCCACGCCACCAGATCCTTGACGAACGCCACGTCCGGGAACAGCGCCTCGCTGATGGGCAGCACGGGCAGCAGCTGGATCCCGAGGCGGCACTCCTTCCACTCGGGCGGCGCGAACCACAGCCCGCTGTCGCGCTTGTTCGCCCACAGCACCCCGACGACGCGGTTGTTCCCGCTGAAGTCGTCCTCGTAGATGCCCTCCTTCCCGGACGTGCCACCACGTCTGCGCCGCCAGCATCTCCAGCGCCGTCAGCGTGGCGCCCACGGACACGAGGTGCGCGTCCCCGTAGCTGAGCCCCACCAGCGCCGCCGAGTAGTAGGCGTTGACGGCCTCGCTGGTGCTCTCCTGGTTGCGCCCGTCGGCGAACTCCGTCAGGCCCCGCCCACGAGTGCAGCTTCCAGAGGTCGAACATCCGCAGCCGGGTAAAGCTGGCGCCGGCCTTGTTCCGCGACAGCGTCGCGAAGTCGGCCACCATGGAGTAGGCCTGCGGCATGTACTTGCGGCCCCAGCACGGGTCGATCTTGGCCAGCACCGCGATGGCGTAGAGGAAGTAGCCCAGGTGGTAGTGGTGGTCGTTGTAGATGCCGAACCCGAAGTCGGCGCCGGGTCCTTGAGCCCCTGCAGCGTCACCAGCCCGCCCCATTTGGCGTCGTAGAAGAAGCCGTTCCCCTGGAAGCTGCCGTCCAGCCACGGCGTGACGGCGGCCTTGAGGTACTGCTGCACCGCGGGGATCACGTCGGGGCACCCGACCTCCTCCGCGATCAGCGCCAGCCGCGCCGCGCGCGCGATGGCCCTCCCGTAGAAGTAGGACGAGGTGGTGGTGACCGCGGTGGACGCGAGGCCGGCCACGTCGGCGCGGAGCGCGGCCACGACCTCGGCGACGCCGTCCTCGCTGACGCCGCGGGTGGAGTGCCATGTCGGGGACACCGGGTCGGTGCGCAGAACCCAGGCGTCGCCGACCACGCCGACCATATCGCCGTCGATGCTCCGGTAGCGGCAGTCGTCGAGCACCCGCACGGCGCAGTCGTCTTCGGCGAGCAGGCGGAGGTGGAGCGGGTGCGCGAGCATGAGCAGCTCCCCGGGCCCGTCCTTGCGCCAGGCGTAGTCGACGCAGAAGGGGCGGTTGAGCGCGGCGTGGCCGGCGGTGGGGAAGCAGCGGCTGTAGCGGTCGAGGACGGGCTCCATGGACGCGTCGGGGAGGTAGGCGACCCGGATGGCGCCGGCGAAGGCGGGCGCCGAGAGCTGCGAGGTGGTGGCCTGCGCGAGGCGGATCGGTGCGGACGCGTAGAGGAGGAACGTCTGGCCGCTGTTCATCCGGAGGCGCCACTTGGTCCCCGAGTCGTCGCAGCAGGCGACGTCGAGGAAGGCGTGGACGGACGCGACAGAGACGTCCACGGGCCCCGCCGTGGTGGTGACGGTGACGTAGGGGCATCCGCGGACGAGGTGCGCGCGGAGGGACGGGGAGACGTCGAGCGTGACGGAGAGGTCGTCGAAGGCCGAGACGGAGTGGCGCTGCGCCGTGCTCCCGGCGGCGTCGGAGACGGTGACGTCGGCGACGAACGTCTGGATGACGAAGGACGGCGAGTGGTTCCGCGACGGGTAGCAGACGTCGAGGGCGGCGCCGCCGGGGAGCGGACGGGTAGGGGTGGATGTACTCCGGCTGGTCCCCGTTCTTGAGCACGAAGTTCTGGAAGAAGGAGTTGGTGGGGAGCGGCGCGGCGAGGAGCGGCGGCGCGAAGAAGCGGACAGGTCGGGCACCACCGTGGACGTGGCGCGCGGGAACACGTGGTGCGGCATGGTGGTGGCGGGGGCGAAGGGGAAGGGGAAGCTCCTCCTCCGGCGGCTGCGGCGGGATCGAGACGGGCGGCGGAGGGGAGGCGGACCGACGGGAGGGTGGGCCTGGGCCTGGGCCGGGAGAAGGCGAAAGCGCGGCTTGGAGGTGACGATGCGGGAGAGGTGTGGCCCAGCTTCTTCGTCCACTTCCGCATCTCGCCGCCTGCTCGGGCTGGCTCTTTATACTTCCGGCGTGGTGTCGGTTGGGCTGGGCTTTGACTGGGCCAACGCGGCGAGATCTGACAACAAACAATCCTCGGGAGACAGGTCGGCGTGTTCCTGCGTGTCACACGGTACAAACAAACAATAGAGATTTTAAAATCTTGCAAATGGTACGACCTTCAATGGACGGATATGATTAGCGTCACTGGATTTTGTAATAAGCACTGGAACCACGAGACTGAGAGCGACGGCAACATCACTCAAAGCAAGTAAGCACGACGATATACAGAGTGTTTAACTTTGACTGGATCGACAGAGATGATTAGCGGCTAAGCGTTAAAAAACGTGAAAACACATTTGAAGGAAGGAATGATTTTACTATAGTATTTTCTTAGCACGCGAGGCCGAGGATAATTGTTGAGTTGAAGCAAAGAGGCCGGGAGGAAACGACAATGAACAGAAACACACGAATCTGAAAAGAGACACGGCCGGGCGTGGATAACGTGGAGCGGTTCCGGCGTCCTACCTCGTTAACGATGAGATCAGGGACGACGCTGGCCTTCGGTTGGAGTGGTTGCCATGGAGCTGTGGCCTGTGGCCGTGGGGGTGATTGATTACCCCAGGCCGTGGGGTAGGAAGACGCAGCGCAGCAGCCCAGGACCTGGATGGAAGGAAAGCCCCCGGCCGTGTGTGTCCCGCGTCGTAAGATTTGCTCAGCACGGGCACCGGCGGTTGGCGACGCCAGGAAACGTGTCTCGGGCGTCGATCTGATGTGATGTCCTCCCGGGCGGGCGAGGGAAGCAAGGGTGATGGGCTTGCCGTGGCGGCGAATGCTTGCCCGCGAAGCCAGCGGCAGAGCCAAGACGGCCGGCAACCGCAACCGCAACCGCAAGGGTGCTCGTTGGTCGTTGCTTCCTTCGTTCCGGGGCGACACGACGTTGTCTTTGTCTCTGGTTGGAGTTGGACGCGCGGCGGCAAGGAAGAAACCCGTCACGTACCTGCTCTGCTTGTTACAGCGAACACGCGCCAGTGTTCCGATCCCAGCAGGGCGCAGCAGCTGCCGTCGCCGGTTGCCAGTCGCGCGTACATCGACGGCGAAGCAGCCTTCGGTGTTCGTTTTTTTGTTGTTACCGAAGTTGGCTTGGTTGGGGCAACCACAAGCAAGCAAGTACTCACCTACGATAGGTTGGCAGTGGTGTTTGATCCGAGAACTAAAGTTTAGCGTCACATCACATTGGACGATGCTAATAAGAGAATTAAGAATGAAGTTAGTTATAAAACTAATTGCATGATGGAGACTAATTTACTTGAGGCAATTTACTAAGTCTAATTAATCCATCTTTAGCACATGTTTATTATAGCACTACATTGTCAAATCATGCACTAATTAGATTTAATAGATTTATGTCGCAAATTAGTTTCCATCCATGTCATTAGTTTTTAAATAAGTCTATTTTAATACTCTAAATTAGTGTTTAAACATCCGATATGACAATGAGGCTAAAGTTTAGTCTGGGTATCAAGTAAACATAATAAGCAGAGTGTTCTGTTTTGCTTTTCTCCAACTCAAAATATATGTGGGAGGAGGAAAAGCTATGGGAGAGGAAAACTGATTAAACTTTATATAGTTTGACTAAGCATAGATATAAGTTCTGTTTTGGAGTCAACTTCCGAAGTAGTAACAAGTGGAGCTACAGCTTGCAAAAAAATCTATGAACAAAGATCTACCTAACTTGGAACGTGCAAACGCATCCGTTCCATGACATCCAACTGAATCTCTTGGTTAAAAAATCCGACTTCCAAGTAGGTCAACTTCTACGGCAGCTTTAATTTAGGCAAATGAATAAAGGTTCAAGTTTGCAATACTTATACTTGCAAATTCTTCTGGATCCATCGAGCACAAGTTTATCTTATTAAGGGCATGTTTGATCCATTTCTCTAAACTTTAGAGATCTTAAAGTTTTAGAACACTTTAGCTCACTTTTGAGCTTCCAAAGTTCTAATGTGATGTTAATGTGACGTGGATAAAGTTTAGAGCTAACTTTAGAATAATTTCAACAGTTTGTTTAAATTAGTAGGCAAATTCCTTTATGTAGCTATTTTGTAAAATAGAAAACTTTTTTTTAAAAAAGAGGTCCACAACAGCTTTGTTATTTTACAAAAGTCGTGATAGCGAAGGCCCATTGTTAGCAATATATGGTCACCGAAAATCAAGGGATATAGTCTTCCTATTTTACGAAGTTAGATAACACGTCTCTTTGAAGCCTACTGCCGGTGTTTTGAGTTGCC